GAAAATGATTTGCCAGTAATAGGATTGTCTTCTACAAGGTCGTTCGCCGTTTCAAGCTCAGTTCTCACAGCTGCGCACGATTCTATGGTCTGCCCTGTACGTTGGGTCTGACCGTTATATAAATGGTTCTCCGCATAACGTATAAGCATTCTATTACTCATTATGGTTAATTCTTATATATAAATTATTGTTATACTTGAATATACTAGGAAAATCACATTTTTGATTTATTCATTGTTGCTATTATTTTATTTTAGTTAAACCTTATTACATATAAGCATTCTATTAGTTAAATTCTTATATGTAAATATTATTATTACTGTTCATCTTTGATATTTTGATATAACAGAGAAATCGCATTGTGGTTAATGCTATTTCCTTTTTAGTTTTTATATACTAATTACTGATATTCCTATTTTAACCTACGTATAGTAAATATTTGAGATTTATGATAAATAGATATTGCAAAAATTTTTATATTCAAAGTGAGTTTTTATCAATAGATCTGTAATTAAAATACATATTGTGTGATTATAAAATAATGCTGCCCAAGGAATATAAAAAGGAATTTATTAAATTTTGAAAGAGTGCTTTATTGTGAGTATATAAAATACTCTATTTAACATACTTGTTTAGCTACAAAAAAATTATAGCATATAGTAAATAAAAATATATTTATAAAAAATTTTGTATTTAAAGACTTTTTCTCTACCTTACCTCCCAATATCTAACATCATAACTTCTAAAAGACTAAAAATATGTCATCAAGTATATATTAAATTATCTAAATCAAAAAATCGGAAAAAAGTTATTTGTGTATTAAAATATGCAAAGATGAAAAGGAATACTGTGATTCTCGAACAAGAGATGCTCATATTGAAAAATATAGAACTTGTAAGAAATTAGTAGGTTCTGAACCTCAAACCAATATTTCTTCTTCTACTAATCCTCATATAGAAAGTAGTCGCACATCTCTAACTAATATTCCTAATATAATTGATATTAATCTTATTAATCTTCAAGAGGAACCAATATTTGTAACTAAAAATGATAAAAAGAAAACAAAAGCTATAATTAGAAAACAACCTGATATTAATATGTTTTAGAGACTTTAGATATCTCTAATTATGAAGAAGTTGCAGAAATAGAATCTGAAAGTGATGATAAGGAGACCATAATAGATTATTCTGCTTCTGATATTGAAAGCAAAAATGAAGAAATATTCGAAAATATTGAAAATCTTGAAAACTTTAGTTGGATATTATTATAGATCTTAAAATACTAACAATGATATCGGTTGCCCAATATTGCAACAGAATTATTAATTAAGTTTATGCATTATCTATTGACTAATTTTGATAAAAACCAATTCAAAAACATTTCTGAATTACTATATATGGATCAAAAATTAATAGAATTAGATATATGTATAAATAAATATGCAACATATCCAGAATATAATAAGTTATATGAATCTGATAAAGTATCAACAAAATTACCTGAACAAATCCTGATATATCTTAATTGTAATTTTGTAAAACATTCTAGTTACCCAATATCTAAAATGAAGCAACTTTGTAACCAACAATTGGCAAAGGAGGTACCTACAAAGGATGGAACATTATATTGTCCTTTGCTTGCTTATTCAACAATTAGTATTAAACATCAGCTCAAGTTATTATACGGCCAATTCGGATTTGAAGCATGATGAGAAAATAGGTTAATAGAAATCTAAATAATAATTACCTTGCTGATATTTATGATAGTAAAATATGAAAAAATTTAAAGGTCAAGATAAAGATTTCTTTACATCAGAATATGACAATACACATCTTGGCCTTATGATTAATCTGGACTGGTTTAGTCTCTTTCAAAATTCTATATATTCTACTGGTGCAATATATGCAGTTATCTGTAATTTGCCCTATGAACTTAGATTTAAGCCTCAAAACATAATTACTCTGGCATTGCTATTGGGACCTAAAGAAGTAAAATCACATTATATTAACTATTATCTTGCACCTTTGATTGATCAATTGCTTGAATTGTGGAATGGAATAGAAATTTGCATAAATAAATCTTTTACAGATAAAAAAAATCAAATGTGCTATTATATGCTACTCATGCGATATTCCAGCAGCCAGAAAGTTATGTAGACAAATATCAGCAAGAATTGCATGTTTTCAATATGAAAAACATACACAGTTTGATGCTAGACATCTATCTAATTTTGGTAGATTTTTGGATATAGAAGACTAGTTTGTAGAGCGTAATATTGAGAAAATTAAAAAAGATGTATATGAATAGAAACTGTGCAATATTGAGGAACAAAGAAAGAAATGCTTCTCCAAAAAATTGGTAAGATGGTCAAAACTCTACTATTTTCCTTATTTTAACCCAATCAAATATGTAATTGTAGACCCAATATATTATTTATTTTTGGAAATTGCAAAGTAGATTGTTATATGACTTTGGATAGAAGGTGAAAAATTAAGTGCTGATGATCTGAAACTTATAGATAAAAAGAGCAAAAAAATTTACAGCAGATCAGTAGCATTATTTATAATAATATATATACTTCTATTTCTTGGGATTTATTAACAGAACTAGACCAACATATTCTTGCAAAATTTGTTAGAGCATGTAATCTGTTAGTCTGTAGAATATTAGACAAAAAATCACTTAACAAACCTCATCAAGAATTATTAAATGTTGCAAAGTTAATAGAACACCACTATGAATCTGAAAAAATTACTTCTAATATCTATTTAAGTTTGCATTATGTGAAAATTGTATGGATTACAGACTATTATATTCATTTTGGTGTTTTTCTTTTGAATGTATAAATGGAATCCTATGTAAATATCGGGCTATTATTATATATACATTATAGTATAAAAATACTAACTGATATATATAATTTATATTTTATAGGCTTATATAAGACCAGCCATAGAAATTTAGAATAGAACTTTTGAGAATTATTCTCATAAATAATTCTTTGGATGAAGTTGTATCAAATGTCAAAACAAATATCAGATTATCTGATTCTTTAACGATATTAAAAGGAAGAAGATCAGATAGTAGCATAGATATTTCAGATGAATTTAAAACACAAAATCTTCTTCAATTTTATAAATTAAGAAATATTATTGATCAAGGAGAATCTTTTGGCTATGAACCATTTCCTTGTATATTTCTTGATTCAAAATTAGAAAATGCCATTTTACAAAATGATATTTTAGACCTTTTAGTCAAATTTTATAACAATGGAGTAACAGGTTATCAATTTACCACTCCAGAAGATATATCAGAAATTGATCAAATATCTGTATTTCCCAAAATAATTTAATTGAGCGATTAAAATTGGGTCAAAAATTTTTGATCTATATTCTCAGCTCACTATATCAAATCTTTAAGAATTTTAGCAAGATTTGTTGCTCAAGAAGATAAATTAGTAGATTCATATCCTAGTCAAATTCAATTCTATTTCAACTACACTATCTATCTTCCTTCTGATGAACTAACATATCACCTTGCATTTGTAAAGTGATATAAACCTATTGAAAATTATGAAACCAGGCACCAGGTAAAAATTAAATAGGATAATTCTAGTTGTAATGTAGAATTATAGAATTAAGAATTTATGAATTAAGCAGAAACTGCATAATTCTTATACATCAATTCTATTTTCGGTTTGTAGCAGATATATACACCAATACTGAAAATGATTCAAAAACATATATGGCTGTAATTTCTTTACATAGAAAGTACAATTTATGAATATGATTTATTTTTATTTAATTATTATTTATATCTTTAATTCATATCAATATATATTATTTTTATTTACATTTTCTTTATATTCTATATATTTTAAATATTTATATTAATATTATATATCAAATAAAATTAGTAACTTTGCCAATATCTTTAAACATTTATACTTTTTTTTTTCTTCAACAATCCTGTTTACTTTATTATGGAAACAGACTTTCATCCTTATATGGCATAAGAAATCTAAATCTATAAGTGTTCTAACCAAAATATAAACTCACCCACAGCATACCTTGCAGATGCTGTAACATCCATTTGCAGTCAGGACGAACTATTAAACCACTATGTTTTGCCTAGATGCGACCTGCCTAGCAACACTTAGCCTCCTCCAGAGATCCAGAACTCACTCCGAACTTATTTCACCCAGATTCCTTGGCTGGCTATTGCTCGCCCTATCAAAATTCCCGCCCTACAATAGAATACTGCCAAACTGATAACACTTTCTCATAGGGAGAAAAAACAAAAAAAAAGGGATAATAGAAAACGAAAAAAGAGGTAAAGAATAAAACTAATACATCAAAGAACACAGATACTAATATTAAGAAATATAAAAAAAAACTAAACTAAAATCTAAACGAAACTATCGCTAAAAGAAGAAAACCTGCTAACTAGGCAAAAACTTCTAATTATACAGAGTCACGATCTACTATTAAGTGCGAGAGTCTTGACAATAAATATAAAACTAAAATAAAATGCACTATAACTCATGTCAGAGGCTAAAAATTATATATAGGTGACTAGTGGATGCCTGTATATCTCTTTTTACTTTACTTTATTCTTTTAATTAAATCTATATCTTCATCCGAAAGTATAAGAATTTTGGAATCTCTACGTGCCTATTCAATAATCACATGTTTGTATATCTTCACAATATAACACATAAGGTATTCTTCCAAACACTCATCCAGTTACTAAATTCGCCAGCACTGTCTATTTTACACATGTTGTTTGTCATCATACAGATTTTCTGATATGGAAGTAATAAACATTGCTGATCTTTTGGAGAAGATATGCTGAATTCGCCACTTTTTGTTGAAAATTATGGCCAAAAGTATCGAAGGGAGAAAAATACTGTATTTGCGAAAGCTCAAGACAATGAAGGTGTTTCCAGTTGTTTATCATAGAACTAAAAAGCTTTAGACACTTAAGTCAGGAGTTTTCACCACTACTGTTACTAAAATAACACTTTTGGCTTGGATGCCGAACATGCGAAGAAGTCTACTCAGAAGTAAAGTTTAACCCAAAGCACAAACCAACTATATACATTCCACTCCTTGGTATTTCACATATAAGTCTTCATCGACAACAGTACCAATAAGGAATCTCAGGTATTTTCAGACTTTTTAGAGTTTTGAATCTTCAAACTGTTTTGGTGTGGTCTTGGTTCAAGTGATTGTGAACATTTATACATTTTAATTGGTGATATATAACTTATAATATTATAAAGATATTAAACATTTTCTTTCATTATTATCTCGATATTCATCATATAAAATATAAACAATATTATAGTTTACTTTCATTATTTAACCAACTCATAACTAGTATCAAAGTAAGATATCAGATATAAAGTTATAAAATTTAAAGTGATATATTTAAATAATCTGATAGCTAATATTATCACATTATTTTACAGACATTCATGTTTATGAAATCATGTAATAAATGCTATCGACAAAGTTCTAAGTTATAATTTGTTATAATTAAACTATTGAATATAAATAAAAATAAATCTATAATTATATATTTACAACTGATATTGAAGAAGGAAAGATCAATTTATTTTTTAAATTAATTTTAGGCATGTTTTTAATATTTGGAATTTTCTCAATTGTTTCTAAGAAGGCAGTATCCATAATTTATGTTAAATTAGTACTGTATTGTATAAATATAGGAATCTTGAAAATAATGCTATATGGTATTGTTTTTGTAATCTTTTTAGAATTTCTATAATGATACTGGTTTAATGTAAATTATGGATGTTGCCTAATATGAATTTCAGGTTTTACCAGCTTATTTAACATCATGCTAGAGACAATTTATTAAAAAATGAATCTATAACTACAAAAGTTTTGACTAGTCAGCATCCATAATTTATATTAAGCCAGTATTGTTATAGAGATCCTAAAAAGAATACAAAAATAATCTATTTCTATACAATGCAGTACTCAAATTATGGATGCTCTACCTAAATTCAATGGATTTTTATTATAATTTTAGTATATTCTGTTTAATATTCAGATTTAATCTGAATCTGAAAAAAATCAGATTTAAATCTAAAATTTTTATAATTAAATCCCATATATAGAAATTTTAAGTTTGACACTATAATTTAATATCAGAAATTTTTTTTAAAAAAAATTTCTAACATTATTATAAATTGTATAAAATATAGCATGACAGATAAATATATATAATTTCTTAATAAAATATAACCTATTATTTATGTAATAAAAAAAATTTGAAATTTAATAACAAACGCTTGTCTTATAAAAAAAAAAAGAAAAAAAGTAATACGTATTTTCAAACTACTTAAATATAAAAAGGAATAAGTTTCTTCTTGCTTCTTTATCAATTGTTGTTTTTATAATTAAATTCATTTTCACTTTACTTCATTAAATTCTCTTATATTACACAACAAAAATAAATAAAAATACCAAACATATAGTCCTATATACAAGGCAACCTTGAGAAAAAGAACAAGTTAAGATGGGAGGATGTGACAGAAAAAGAGAATGTGATTTGTAATCTTCTTCGTCTCCTTCAAGATGTATGTTGAGAAGATTATATATCGTTAAGTATTAAGCAATGTGATATATTTACATTAATTATATTAAAAAATAAAAGAATACTAATATCGCCTATATCTATCAGCAGTAGTAGTAGTGAAGGCAGTGATGACAATATTTCACCAGAACTTCTGATTGTTTTGCAGGTTTAAATATTAGTTTTATAAAAAAATAAACTAGCTGTTATTAGTATGAACATAGCTTGGTTATAAAATTTTACAACAAAGCTATGTTTGTACTAATAACAGCTGGTTTATTTTTTTTTATATTTTTAGTAAAATTTCATTTATTTTTTTTATTATAACAGACCGCTATCATATTAGCACTTAATAACTTAGACAAATGAGATATACTAGATCCAACAAAGTTATAAAGAAAGGTTAAAAGGCACTTTCTCTCAAGGCCTTTTTGGGTTATTAAACGTGATATTTCAAAATATTATACCAGTAATAGTGTAATACTTCAGGTGATTTAGCAGCAACATCGGCACCAACATAAGATGTATTTAGAAAAAAAAGATCTGAAAAGGCAAACTCATGCTAAAATAAGAAGAAGAAGAAATACACAAGCATTTTAGATATTATTAATAATACTATTGCAAATATAGATATCAGTACTCTAATTTTTTTTCTGTTTTTTTTTTTATTTTTATTTATTTATTTAATTATTTTATTTAATTTTTATTTATTAATTTATTTTATTTATAATAATTCTTTTATCTATTTTAATTATCTATTTTTTTTTTTAATTTATTTATTTTTAAATTTTTTAAAATTTAGAAAATAAGAAGATGAAAAGGTGGCTTTAAATTCTTACAAAAAACATGCATCACACCTTAGAGGATTACTTACTATCTGATATCTCTCTTTAACAAGCTATCTCCAATATCAATAAGATATTAGAGAATCATGATTATTACAGCAAGAAGATATTTGAAACAGATGTAGATAAAGTAGTAAGAGAGGGACAACTTAAGCTGCGATCTAAAAAATTAGGCAACTGTGTAGTAAAAGTTTTGAACAAGAAATGGAGGTCAAAGAGAGTATGTATATTTATATTTTTCTTTTTTTTTTCCTTTTTAAAAACTTCCTACATTTTGAGATAAGTTACATGAGCATTGAATATAGATATTGGCATATGAGTGATGAAAAGGAAAAACCTATAATTCGAAAAATAGATTATTATGAATTTTATAATGGTCTATTTTTCAAATTACAGGTTTTCAATTTTTATCACTCATATACAGTCAACCCACACTATAGTCACCTCCTCTATAGTTACAAAATTAGTATAATTACAAAATATCTATATTAGTTACACCTCTTTATAATCACAGTTTTTTATATTTCAAAGGTGTAACTATAGAGAGGATTAACT